AATCCAATAAAGAGTTTCTGAGCAATAAAAAAAAAAAAAAAAAAAAACCACACACACAAAAAATACAATGTGTTTGTCATTATTTTAACATTATTAAAATATCTTAACAACATAAAGATCTCGTCTGACGTGTTTGTGTTTGTATAATTATAGTACATCAATAAAATTAAAATTGTTATTGAAGTCTCTGCTTTTCTTCTTTCAATATTATAGTATAATAAGGCCAGACAATGTTGTCGTATGAAGAAACGTGTCTTTCAGTATAGGAAGGAATGTTGACTGAAAACTAACGTGATGATGACAACACACACCAGAACAGACAATAATAAATGTCATTTATTGTGTGTTATACATGTATATGAGACATATCAGAGGGGGTCTCAACAACACGTGTAATTGTTATTTAACACTATAATTATTATTTAATATGAAATAGTCTGTTATTTAGTTATGGCGTCTTGTATATAATGTTGTAATTTGGACGGGAAATCAGTGGGATGACAGCCACCACTAAATTATTATTACGCCTATTCAGCTTATTAATGTTACACACCCCTCGAAGAAAGTAGGAGACTATTAAAATGGATCAGTACGTCCGTCACACTTTTTTGGGAGACAATAACTTCTTCTAATTTAGCTAGAATTAAACTTGGTGTAGGTGTTTATTAGGTGAATGCCTTGATGGAGTTCGAAGATGAGAATTTTCTGCTTAAGCTAAGCAATTTGATTTGTTGATGCTTTGGAAAACGATAACTTTGGTTCTAATTAAGTGAGAGTGGTGAAACTTCACGTATAGTTTCATTACATCAATACTTTGTCTTAAGTTCGATGATGAACATTTTCTGCTTAGGCTACGTAGATACTCCAGTCTGATTGGTCGAGACTTTGGAACACATTAACTCTCCTTTTAATGGATGACAATTTCAATGGCGGAAAAATTAAGATACGGACTCCTCCACTTCAACAGCTTTACAACATTATGCAATATTAGTTAAATGATAGTACAATTTGTGACATTCCACATGGTACTTTTCACGGAGCTCGACATCACGACCATAATTGCTCAGCTTAGCGGCCCTATTAAAGCCTCAAATACCCCTTGTTTTCGGAATAAAGGTGGGTTGTTCATTATCAAATGATGCACTGCATATCTGACAAACTGGCGATACTGTATCCAGCTTTATCTCAATATTTGAATCATTTTGTGAAATAAATTCGCGACGTGCTTCAATAGGCATGACCAGCTTCCGGCTGGACTACTAGAGCTAAAGTCAGACTCCTTAGGACAATGTGCAGTTTTCTGCCTTTCTATATTTATCTAATCCAACCATAATTTTATACGCCCACATTTCTGTGTGTTCTTATTATGTCGTAATTTGTGTGAAGCATTGGTGTCGCGGGAGGATGAACCCTGCCGAATTTCTGTTTTGCAGTTACTACCTTCTCCTTTCCGAAAACCTTGTGTACCAGATACAGGCTAAAGATTTTAACAGATTTTGATTCAACTTTGCCGCGAAGTACTGGGTCATGAGAATGTGAATCCTATGATTTTTTTAGCGTTCCCCAACCTTCTTCCGGTGTACGCCCCACCCCTTTTTCTGAAAACATGCTGAATGATAGATACCGTAGTCTTTAATGGATTTCTTTTTTTTTGTATTTGGTTTGAAGCATTAACGCTATGAATGGATAAGCCCGATTGAAGTATTGGGATCGGAGAGAATAATCACGACTGATTCCAGTGGTATAATAGTATTAGTGTCCGGAAAAGATTGTGAACACAAGAGAGCTCAGATTTCTTGAAGAAAACCAATTCTTGCCAACAACCAAGTACATGTAACGATAAAAATTGTAGTTTTAGTAACTGAGTTCCACTTTTAAGTATATAATGAGCAATTTATATTGGTGATGCCATTCTATGTGTTGAATAATTTATTGATAGATTATTGGAAAATAAATCTCAAAAGAATATTATGCGTTCTTCGGGTATATTATAATGATGAAGATTAACCTTCCTGTTTAAAGTATCTTCCACCAACACTGACAACATGATGTTGTTGTTGATGATAGTGTCTCCAAATCGTTTTTGATCCTGGAACAGACAGAATTAAACAGACGACATTAAACTTTATAACATTGTTATTCTCCCTTTGTCATTTTCCTTTCCAAACTTCCACCCCTTTGTAATATCTCTGTATCGCAATAATATTATTTCAACAGATCTAATTTTAATAAACTATAAACTATTCATTTGATATAGCGCTAATTTTGATAATAATCTTCAATAGCGCTGTACATAATGCACTACAGGATCAGAAATTGGTGAAGAGGTGAGTCTTGAGGGCATGCTTGAACCTTTGCACATTTTCAGATTTCGTAATATCGTTCGGCACCGCATTCCACCATGTTGCTCCAATGACATTAAAGGCACGACTGGCAAACGTTTTTCGCTTCACCAATGGCACTTTGAGTCTCATGTACTGGCTAACGGGTCGCATATTGGGCCTTTTGTGTTCATCGGTTTTTAAAAGTGTCCTTATATATAGTGGTGTACAACCATTAAGACTCTTCCAAATCCGCGTCAGGACTTTGTGCTGTATTCGTAGTCTTATCGGTAGCCAGTGTAAAGTTTTCAGTGCCTTCGTTGAACTCGAATATTTTTCAGTCCTGAGTACCAGTTTAGCTGCGAAATTCTGTACCCTCTGAAGTTTTCTAATTTGGTTGTCAGGCAACCCTGCGTATAAAGCGTTGGCGTAGTCCAGGTGGGAGAGGACAGTTCCTAAGACCAGAGTCTCCCATGCTTTTTGTGTAAGCATATGTCTGATGTTCCGTATTGTCTGGAGTCCGAACATTGCTTTATGTGATCTGAGAGCGTAAGATTTTCATCTAGGTAGACCCCAAGGTACCGAATTTTATGAGAACGATTGACGGATTCGTTATTGATGCTGATGCTGTCAGATTTGCATTTCTTCAGTTGTTGACGTGAACCGAAATAAACGAATTGTGTCTTGCTTGCGTTCATTTTTAGACGATTACTGTCCATCCAGTTTTTGATGTCCACAGCAGTTCGCTGATGGTGATCTATTGATTCTAGTTCCGATTCGGGACCTTGTGTACCAAAGGAGTTCATTAGGGCGTGGTCATCAGCATATCCATATATATTCATGGGATCTTGCACCACCTCTTCCATTGTACTCGCATATATAGAATACAGGTTAGGACCAAGACATGAACCTTGGAATATGTCTTCATTATCACAACCACGTAGTATAGTATAGTGTAGACTGATATATGGTTCGTTGATCCATTGAAATGCAATACTTGTAATAAAAGATTCCTATTTAATCATTAACTTTGCACATATTACGCAATCTGATTAGTTGATTGTTAGAACATACCTTCATTATTACAGAACTCGCCTAGGCTGAACCATCAAGACCATCTGTGCACATTTAATTTTGCTACCGAATTCCGATTGGTTTCTTGTTTGAAACACAACAACTTAATTTCTAATAAAGGCATTTTGGTAAAACTTGAAATTGTCAATAAGCTGGAACACCAGGATTATATTTGGATTATATTTATATATTTAATTTTGACCCACTGCAGTCTGATGATCGGTTTCTTTATTGTTATTTTTATTCAGTTTAAAAGTCGATTCATTTTAATAGAAATAATTATTATGTTACTTTTAACGCATTCAACCTTCTTAATTCATATATTTAATCGACCTGCTGGAATCTGATTGGCTGATTGTTTAAAACACAATGCCTTATTGGGCATACAATCATTTGCCTAAATTGGAACATGAATGTTTTTATATTGATTCCTTTAATAGCAATAACTTTTCTTCTAATGCAAATGATATCATTTTAAAATAGAAAACAGTTACTGTATATTTAATCGGAGATAAGTTTCTTCAATAATTCCTTTGTAGTTAGTGCTTGCAATCGACAAGATAATCATTGTAGAAAACTAGTTCCGATAAAATACACAATAACTGTTTTCCACAGAAATCTTGTGTTTATTTTAAGGGAATATCCTTTGCATCAGAAGTAAAGTTATTTTAATGTGTTCAAGCATAAATAAATGTCGTATATACTGGATATCATCTTAATTTTTGTCTACCCTAACCTAACACACATGATATATGGGATTGTTTTATTGACTTATTGCAATCTGATAAGTCGAACTAGGCTTCTTGTTGCCTTATTTTGATTACACCAGGTAGAAAGCTCATTATAACGCATAGTTAATAGCCCACTTCATTCTATGAATATGTGTTTATAATAAGTTTATGGCCAGAGTTTCGACATCAACGTCACATGTGCATATTCAATTATGTCGCTTTAGTCTGATTGGTAAATATGAATGTATATTGCATTCACTGTAATCTGTCTTTCCATTTAACTGACAGAATATTAGACCGCTGACCACAGCTGATTTAACTTGTTTAAACTAAATGCACACACTGTTTTATGATAGTTTCAACGTGTAAGCCATATAATCCATATTTTGAAAATGTGTGATGCTATGTCTGTTGATTAATTACCTTGATGCGTTTCCTGTTTCTTTTATCATAAAATAATATTAACACCAGCTGAAAGAAACGCATTATCCATATTAAACACATATCATTATCAAAGAAATGATATTATTAAAGATGTATTTAAATGACAAATATATTGATCGCTATTGCAACCACGGAACATCGCATATATAACTGTAAAGTACCTAGTTGCGTTTCTGTGTTAGTCAGATAATTTATTAACATAGAAAAAAAGGTTTCTTCTATGACTTTGTGTGTCAATATACGGTAGACACGCCATTTGGTCATGTAATAAGGTTTGATAGCGTGCTATCTAAGCTAATAAGTGACAAGGAATAGCAGTTAATAAGTTTACGACTTTTAGATTAAATGTAAGTGAGGCATTAAGAAGTTTAGTTTTATGATATTTTATTATATTAATGTTTCTTATATTAAATTTACGCTTTATCTTCAGATGCTACTGACATTTTGGTTTCGACAGAGAGACAGACAGCCACAATGATGGTTCAAGGTCGAAATGACTTCCAAGGTATAGAACCATTAGAATCTCCTACAGTTACATACATTGATACTATTTTCGATGTAATCCCAGCGGCCAACTGGGTAAAACCCTCGGGTTGTCTAATCCCACTTCCAGTTGTTACAGGTAACACTGACGAAGAAATAGAGACTTTTGGCAAGGGAAATTTGTCCAATCCGTATCGTCACGTGATACGCTCGTCAATGTAGTTTGATAGCTGAGCTGAATGGAGTTCTATTACAGCATAATGGCAGTTATCTACCACCAGTACAAGTCAAGTACTAAGCCTACTAATTACTCTAGAGAGTCGCTGAGCTATTAAAAAAAAATATGTCGAATCTTCAACTTCGATTCAGCAACAATGCTTGATTTCACTAATGTATCATTTCAGAAAGTTTATACTCCTTTACTATAGAATCACATCATTTACAGATTTGCAAGGTCCCACCTCCCTAAATTTAGCGCGTAGATCAACATGCATGCAGACAGTCAGGAAAAATATGAAAATTTCGAGAAGAACTCATAAAAAATATTGATTAAATTCCAGTCTTTATTATGGTTAAAATCACATCAAAAATACACCTTCGTGTTCTAGGATACACATAGATTCATAAAAGCGCTATGGCACAACATTTCAAGGTCTAAGGTCTAAAAGTAGAAAACGACGGCAAAAAGACGACGATGTTAAACGGACCTTTTCCGTATGAAAGCTGTTCGGTACGTGCTGCCGTGTCCGTTTGCCGCATCACGTATGAGAAATACACACACATTGATGACGGCACACACAAAGTCGATACGAATACGCGTCGATACGAACCAGGAATTTACGCTTGTCAAAAGTCTCTAATCGTTAGCGTTCTATAGCATATATGTACAATACATGTAGACAGTGGGGAGTCAAAGACTTGACTTATTGAACTAAAGCACAAAGGGATTAGGCCACTCGACGCCCCACCCCACTTCCTGTCCCTTATTAGACTCACACAATTTTATAACAGTGATGGATAGAGAAATATTTTTCAGTCATGTACAATGTGCAGAGGCCTAGCCTACGTATTTTTCCCATAAAACGCTGGACTATGAAATAAGAAGTCGAAGTCTAGAAATACAAAGTGACAGATAGGAGTAGCAGCCCGTAGAGGTTATCAGAGGAACATACCACAATACCTTGCGTTCCCCTTACAAAGTAGTATAACATGCTTCTAATAGAGTAAGCATATCCTACCCCAAGCGCTAAATCCACCACTGTTATTGTAATAATGCATTAATTGGGTAAATATCTTTAAAATAGATTTGAGATGGTTTTTTTAATGTTTTTTTTAGGGCCGATGCTTGTGGGGTTTGCTACATTTTTTTGTTGTTCCATAATCATAATCTTATTGATTGTTTATATCCGTCGTTATGGTAACCACGCTTCTCGTCGTGAAGTCCCTGGGGTAAGTAATGAATACTGCGCCCACAGTAAGTTGGATCGCCGATACGTAAGGTTTTTCTTTGTAAATATATATATATATATATATAGACCTCTATATGTTATAAAAAAAACTATTCACTTACACTCTAGCCGGAAAAAATCCCCTATATGATGGCAGTCATGTAATGTCTTGAGTATCATCATGACCTTAGCTATTTCTAATAATAAGCTATTACCGCGATGATCTGATTAATATTTATAACGGGTAGTGTTGTGTTATTATTTGTAAACATTTTTTTTTAAAAAACAAAAATGCTATCGTATAGTTTTTATCCTATTAAACGCTACGGGCATAAATGTTACAACGAAAACATACGTCAAAGATATCTATTTAACGTGGATGTTTTTAAATTGAGCAATTTTTAAAAACATAAATAATAGTGAAACAGAAACATGTCGATTGTACAATGGAGAAGTCGAGATACTAATGTTTTCAGACCAAATGTTGCTACCAATAGTTTAGATCATCGACTGAAAGTGTTTGTTTTTACTCTTTGATATACTAAACACAAAATTTGTCTTTATTAACTGTGCTTTTTTTGATTAAAAAAATGGAAAGATATTTTAGCATGCTTGGCTGAATAGCCTGGTAAAATATATTAAACAGGCATTATACAAGATTTAAATTTGCCTACTGCAGGTCTTTCTGTAGGCCTTAAATGCCATATAAATTATTAATTATACATTCATTAGCTTACCAAGACGACGATCAACTCTCGAGGCCAATGAGTGACTCCTATATTAATTAGATTTTTATACGTTTTGCGGTGATGAAATAACCGTAAAACTGGATAATCGAGACTTTGTTTATTATCGTCACAACGATAGCAATGCCAATCGAGGCTACAATGTTATTGTTTCGCCGATAACTAGGCTCAGAGTGAAGTAATTTGACTGAAATTTTCAACATATTCCCTCTTCAATATCTAATCTTTTAAAACTATTTTAGCGAGAACTGTCAGTTCTTTATCTAACCTTACCTGATACCCCGTAATTAATATACTATGTTCTTTTGAAAAATAAAGGATAGGGGTACTGAAACTGTGACATTGTCATCTGCTGATTGGTTGGATGGTTTTGCAATAAGTAAGGACGGCCGATATTCAAAATGGGATGTACCAATCAGAAAGCTTAAAATTGGCCGTCTGTTAGGAAAGGGCGCCTTTGGTTTGGTTAATGAGGCCTGTGCTTATGGTGGCTCTGGCTTTGATAATAAAACTTTTAAAGTGGCAGTGAAACGGTTACGAGGTAAGGCGTATTTAAATATTTAACACTCAAATTAATAATCTAATGTATGCTGGAACTACACGGTTATCTCCCTTATCAAGTCCAATTACCTACTTTATTTCAATGTTAAATCCATCAAGGTCAACCATCTGTAGCTTATTCCAAAAATATTATTGGAAGCTATCGTTATGACTTTGATCAAAGTCATGTATGGACATGGCTATCAGAATTTCATCAGTAGTCATGTCACTTTAAATGGTTGACAGGAAGAGAAATTCCCGTGTGTCAAGCATGTTTGCCTTTAATTCGCCCCATAATCATGAAAGTTGAACAAAATGTGGCAGAACATGGAATTGAAACCCATTTCATTAAACGTCTTCAAAATTTGACAGACCAAACCAACGGAAAAGAAGTGACGGGAAATATTAACCAATAGGTTTTACCACATTCGCGGATGCAGAAATAACAGTGTCTAATTCCATAATATAAATGGGTTAATGAGTTTCTTCTTAAAATTGAAAACTGAAATACTTGAATGCTGAACGTAAAAACTTAGCGTGCCTTATACAGTTCTGGAACTGACAAATAGATATTATTATTTGATTTATCTGTTTTCAGATTGTGCGTCAGAGGAGGACATTACTTCACTGAAACAAGAATTAGAACAAATGAAGTTAGTCGGACGACATCCAAATATAATATCATTATATGGCTTCTGTCATCATAAAGGTGAGGAGGTTGCTAGTTTTATGTAGTATAGATTATAGCACTCAATGACCATTGTAGCCCAAAATGGAAATTTCTTGGATTCTGATTGGTCGAAAAGTGGCGTCGAATGAGTATAACAGTCCTCTAAATTTCCTGGGTGACTCACTGCGAACATAGATAATACCGTATGATTGCCGACTCATGAATTCTCGACGTTATGTTGCGAAACGCGTGAAACGGCGAGAAAGGTGGTTGATCACTTCCTGTCTTCTGTTCTCGCTGTTTGTTTACTATAGGCCCAGTAGCGATATTTTTATTTAGCGCTTTCTTGTAGTATTAAATGTGGCATCATCTGGTTAAATGGAAACGAGAAATAGAAGCAATGTTCGAGGTAAGAATTAAAATGAATATCTTATAATTTTGATATTATATTGTATTATAAATAAGTATTACATTTCATGAAAATCTCGACACGTGTGTTGCCCAGTTAAGGCAAAGTTTGACAGCTTTGACCTACTTTTAAAAATCGACAAAATAGGGTTTTCAATTCATTAATTTGTAAAATAATACTTGCAGATCATTAATAAATCGTAAATATATAAAATACAGTTTGGTATGAATAATAACATTGCTGTGTTGGCTATATATAAGCTTTTAATTACACAATTTTTTAAAATCTTTTGTATTTTCAGCAGAACTGTACTGGTACCCGTCTTTTGTTTGCTACCTAGGGGCCTAGAGGAGTGCCAGCTTGTGAAGCAAATATATTTCATGTTGATTTATTGTGATACTGATAAATAATTGTATGTTTTATTTATGTTATTTACTTCTTTTCATATTGTTTGTATGTGTGTGTGGGTGGGGGGGGGGTATAAATATTGAGACACTAGACATTAATATATTGATAAAGTATTTTATTTTATGTATCTATTTATTTATATTTTATTTATTTTTTTCATTTCACTTTTTTTTTTTTTTGGGGGGGGGGGGGATATTATTATTTTCATTATTTTATTTGTTTTATTTTAATACTCAACAAGGGATTTGGTTTAAATTGTTTGATTGTATTATATCATTATTGATTTTAATTTTGTATAGTTGAATTAAGCATAATTATTTAATTTTATGTATTTCAAACATCAGAAAATAAACCATTCAAGCTATGTGTAATGTGTTTGTATGGTTATGTTGATGGTTAAATAGGTTGAGAATTGAAGTCAAATGACCAATTTTCGCGAAAAAGGGATCTGCCAGTTGGTGTTACAGAATTCAGTCAATTTTGCTCCGATATTGATAAGGTTGGTTTTGTTACAATGCTGAGATGTATGGCTTTTTAGGAAATAACACGGTTCTGGAGAAAAATTAATATTTAAAAATAGCTGCCGGTCGATATTTAAGGATATGGGTTTACTGTTCCTGTAATTAAATTAATCATTAAAAATATAACCTACAATTTTTGTTTCAATTAAATAAGTTAATCTTAACAATAATATTAGGCTATTGCATTTTTTGATTTAAATAATTTAATCTTATCAGTTGAGGAAGAAAGAGTTGGTATTTCAATCTAATAAGGTGCCTATAAATTATTCATCCAATTATGTAACATTAACATTGTTTGATCGCTTTATTTAATAATACATTTATTAATTTATCATAAAAGTATTGTTAATTAAAGGTGCGTTTTTAAATGTTAAACAGGCATGATGTAAGAGCTAAATCTGCTTATTGCAGGTCTTTCTTTGGGCCTTAATGTTATGTAAATTATCAATAAGACATTTATTAACATGAAAAGACCATAATCAACTCTCGATGCCATCTGATTGCTCAGATTTTAAATAGATTAGAACGGTATGGTGGTAAATTTTCAATATATTCAATTTGCATTATCTATTTTTGAAATGTTATAGTTAATAGCGAGAACGACCAGCTCTTTATCTAAATCTTACATAATTCCCCTTCAAATTTATGTCTATTGTTATTGTATTATTTTAATTTAGGACATAAAGAAATATATTTTGGTTCTCGCTTGGATGACGTGTTTTAATTTCTTTTTTTTTTTTTAAAAAAAAACCTAACAAAAAAGTCTTGTTAATTACTGCATGTAAATAATTTACCCCGGTTACACGAAGTAACTCTGTAAAAAAAATTGACTAGATCTATAGGCTAATTTGTCAAGTATGCAAACAAGTTAAATGATAATGATATGACTGATATTGGATACCGTAATCATATATTCATATAAACAAGATGATGAGATAAATGTAGTGCCTTACAATTTTTAAAAACTCATCTGTTACAAACAAGTGATAACTTAGAGCTAAAGACTTCGTGTAGGTATGTTTTGCCAAGCGCTATGAACACAATTTTTGCGGAATTTTGGCGCTATAGAAATGGACGTTCATTATATTTATTTATTTGGTTCTTCTGGAAAAATACATACATCTATTTAAACACCAAAAGTACTTGGCTGTTCTGTTCAAAAGCTTATAGTTCCAAATTTTTAAACAAAACATCTTTCACATGATTTAATTAGCTATTTATTTTTATATCGAAGCCCGAAGAACAGGAAATCAAATTGGTGTGGCCAACATTGAAATATCGGATATCAAGGATGAAGTTGCCTTTATCAACTCTTGTAAATCTTTTAATGTACAGGATTCCTGGAAGAATCTATTTTAGAATAAAAATTCCTTTTCATTGATAACTAAAGCAATAATTCCTTTTTTTATTTAAAACTAATAGTGTTTTCTTTTTCCTTATATATAATTGTTATATCTACTGAAGCAAATTTAATTTCTCAACAAAGCCTAGATCAAAAAGACTATGAAATAATTGCTTACATTGGGGTGGATTTATATAAGTAAACTTTTTTCCAGTTGTGCAAGCTGAAAAAAAAGTATGTGTGTATTTTTTTTTTTGGGGGGGGGGGGGCTGCATTTATAAAATTAACTAAATTAAATGACAGAGGGACTTAAAATAAATAAATGGCCATTTTCTAAAATTATTAATTAGGCCTAGATTGGAAAAGAATTTTGTAGGGATATTACATCTTTATCAACTAAAGTATACAAAGCTGAATTTATTTAAAAAATGCACATTTGAATATAAACAAGATTTTTAAAACTGTTCTAATATACCATGCAATTGATAATAAAATGCAACATCTAATTTTATTAATCATACTATAGATAGGCCTATACCGTAGGCCTGTGTGTGGCACAGAGGTGCGGGTTAGTTAGCTCGCAATATAACCTTTTTCTTTCTGCAAATTAAATTGTAGAACATTTTTTTTGAAGTATTAGAAAAATAAAAATAAAGGTGTTTGATGTATTATCTCTATATCAAAAATATTTCCTAATTTTAGTGTAAATTGGTACGGTACATGAATGAAGAAAGGCATTTTTTGCCCATTTGTAACCTTTTTTCAACTTAACGTCACACAGTAGCTATTTAATCTTTTGCAATAATCTAAAAATATTTTGGAAGGAGATATCTTGTTCTTTTTTTCATATAATTTTTAAATACGTGTTCATTTTATTAATTTCATAAACGTAAGTTTCAAAAACGTCAATTTCGCGTGTCACTGTGCGTACGTACGTACATGTACTGTCGAAAGCTAGACCGGAAGTAAACAACCCCCCCTGCGCAAAAAAATATGCGCACGAACCAGAACGCAACATCACGTAAAGGGCTAAAGACGAGTCGGCAATCATACGGTATTATCTATGCTGCGAATGAATATTTTCTGGGTGCTAGACTCTGTTTGCAGTGGCCAAAAATTCTACACCTCAAAACTTTATTCTGGTAAATCTTCATGAATTTGTTCTTGTATATCATCAACAATGAAATTCAACCATTGGCTTATTGAAACACACACCTGAAACACACAAAACAAAGATAGGGAGAGTATTTGAAAGATAATAAGTAAATTTAATTTCAAGGCTGGTCTGACAATAATGGTTGCTATGGTCACTCTATCAGTCTATCATAATTAGACTGGTCAAAATCGAAGATTTTCAACAAGTGAATAAAAATACTACAATTTATTGAACTCCGTATGGACCGTAATATATTTTTGATAATAAACAAGTCAGGCTGATACTGATATGAATAGGACAGAGACTAATTTTCATACAGATGCACAGGCCAGGGTTTTTGCGAAGAAAAAACATCACATTCATTCACAGCGTCGAAATGACAACGTAAACAAGCACAGCAACCACATGCGTACAGTACACAGCATATATCTACACAGTCACACGAGTATATGGACATTTATCAAACATGATATGCAATTTATTTCGAACCTAGTCACCGCTGGAGTTTAAAATCATTTAAAAAGTACATAAAATACACTTACGATTTCTGTTTCGATCTTTGAAATTATCGCAGAGTGACCTCCCTTTCCAAATAGACACAATTAACCAGTCGCTGTGTGACCCAAATAGAATGGAAATGAGTGTTTATCTTATTACGTCACGGATATTTTCATTACGTCAAAATTGTTTTCCTTGGTATTTACGTCATTAAAACCAAAAAACGACCGTCAACTATCGCGAAAGAAAGAATTCCTAGAAAAATGTTAAATATTTTGGGCTACAATTTCGATAAACACCTCCTGTTTAGAATTTATCGGACTGTTATTGTCCATTTGATACCGCTTAAATTTTTCATTAGAGGCGCTCGATCGCTACGCGATCTCGGCCTCTAATGATTTAAGCGGTATCAAATGGACAATAACAGTCCTCTAAATTCTAAACAGTCGGTGTTTATCTCCTAATTGAATACCGCTCGGGTTATTCAATGAATAGCCCGAGCGATATTCAATGGTCATTGAGTTCTTTTTTTATTATAACTACATGCGGAACCTATGGTGAATTTTAACGTTATTGGTGATGATTTTTTTTTTTTTTTTTTTGTTGTTGATAATCTGGATAGTATGATATTTGGTATATACCTTGTTAGACTTCAGTTTTCCAAAATGACGATGGTGCTTCAAAGTTGTTTTCATTTTCTTCAGGTATAATATATTTGATATAACTCCCAATCTAAGAAATGTGTGCCGAGATTTGATAGAACTCCCAAGAAATCCTTGAGCAGATGTTATGCGGTGTTAGACCACGGTAGGCCTATATGCAGCGATCATCGCGACGTGGGCATAAATAGTTTCAATAGGCTTTCATCTCAACCGAGTGGCAGTAGGTGATAGATCTAGCCTACTATAATATATACTTTCTAAATTTTTTTCAAGAATATATTTTCTTTAGAAAAATATGTGTGAAAAACACATTTTTATGATAAAGGATTTTTAAAACGCTTTGAATTTACTGTTGAACAAAGCAAGTGGAATAAAAGATACCAAAATTAATGTCACAATTGCTTTTTAGGCCCGACTTCTCCAGTCTGTAGAGATTAGAACACAGATTCTATTTCGTTTCGTTTGTATAATTCATTTTACTTGTCTTCATTACACCAGTAGCCTATGTGGAAACTTTCGTGATGATGTAGAGGGGTTAGCCGATGAAATAGAATTGTACACCAATTTATAAAAACCCTAACTATATTGTAACACCGCTAATGAGAGAATTATCTAAGTTTGGTCCCCGTGTCTGGCCAGTCCCACTTAATTATTCAGTTTAATGACAACCAAAACCTACATGTAGTTTTCACAGGAAAATGCTATTATTTTCACCATTGACCGTAAATGAAAAATCAATAATTTGGGTTCATTTGATAAAAGAAATTGTTTAAATCTCATTAAATACAATAAATAACCATTAAGATGTATGTGCCAAATATCTAATGCAGACGTACAAAAACAAGAAGAATGTCCCAGACTATAGCAATTTTAATTTCATGGTACATTTACAGGGTGATAAAGGGACAAACGCTGACGATACTGGCTGAGTAATAACCACTCTTAAATATCAACAGTGGATGACAATATTAACTTATTCTATTTATAATGGGCACATACATCAATTTGAGCCTAAAATTTGATTTCTCCTTGCAATTAGACATATCATATTTTAGAACCGACTGCCGATAATTATGTTCATATAACCCATCTATAATTCTTAAATAAGTATAGAGACATTGAAACTAATATCAAACGATACGATATGTCTGGATATTGTATATGTAAAATAATTTTTGAACATATGTGATTACAGGATTTATGCTCGTAAGATAAATATGTTAGATTTAATAACATATTTCAGTATAGATTTTGAAAAATCGAAAATTCTTTCTTATAGTCGAGATAGACCGTCTGCCACTAAATTTGGTTTAATATAAGTATTTAATATAATGCTTCAGGAAATACCACCCAGATTCAAGAACAGATCCCAGATAAACGAAGCTGTTTTTCTTAAGATGTTCAGACATGATCAAATCCAATTTATCTAAAGTAATAATACAGACTTAAATGTCTGGTGCAGATAAACCTTTTCAAAGAAAACATTTATTATTTATCACAGTCAGACTACTGGTAATTAGGAATTTTAAAAGGTTAACACGTATTGCTAATGTAATGTTTTTTGCTCGTTTTAGGACAAACAATGATAATTATGGAGTTGGCGGAACTTGGCGATTTATTGACCTACTTAAAAGAAAGGGCAGCTAACTCCCAGAGTTATGTATCTATTTCGCCGGAAGGGGACATTTCTGAAGAAGAAACCAAGCAAATAACAGAAGATAGGGAGTTAATGGCATTTGCCTGGCAGGTTGCTAAGGGCATGAGTCATATCGAAAGTCTGAAGGTACGCATTAATTGAGTCATATCGAAAGTCTAAAGGTACGCATTTCAGCCACACCCAAACTTATCGAGATCCAATCAGATGGTTTGAATCTCCGCATGGGTTTTATTGCAAAAATGGTTCCCTCGCCGGTCTACTTTTGCAATATCAACCATTTTTGCAATAAAATTTCAATAATGAAAAATTGCCATCACTTTCATAAAAATGGGTATAGAAATGATATTGCTGATAAAAAGATGCACGATGAATACACCAATAATGTTTCTGACAATCCTCAGGTTGAACAAATGAACATGGTGATGATGAAAATGACCGAAGAAGAAGTTATTGTTAAAACGGCTTTTATTGCAAAAATGGTTTCCTTGACGTTCTACTTTTGAAATATCAACCATTTTTGCAATAACATTCCATTAATGAAAAACTGTTAGAGAGGGTTAGAGGGTTTAAGGTCCACTCGACACAAACTAGGTCATTTTAGGACTAACATATATGGTTCAATTTTATTTCAATAATTCGCTTGCGCGTAGGGGACTTTAGTAGTGGGAGGAAACCGGCGGACCTGGACAAAACCCACGAAGCTGGACAGGTGGGCCCAATCCTTGTCACGTACAACTGTGGAATCGAAACCAGCCAGTTGACTCGATGACAGACCCAAGCCCATTTCATGTATTTGTTTGTTTGCTGTCTACAGGCCGCATTTCCTAACAGATCCTTTTGAAACTTTGCATACATATTCCTTATACCCTAAGGATGATCCCTATTGTTTTTGGTGAATGTCTGACCCCCAAGGACAGAGCCACATCCATGTATGTGTGTGTGTGTATTACCAACAGGCCACAATTCTTAATTGTTCCTCTTGGAATTTGGCATAAATATTCCTTATAGCCTAAGGACGGCAACTATTGATTTCGGTGCATGTCCCGGCCCCCCAGAGGCAGAGCCAAGTCCAACTTTTATGTTCATCGTATATATTCCTTATAGCCTAAGGGTGGTAACTATTGATTTTGGTGCATGTCCTGACCCCCAGGGACAGAGCCACGCCCAATGTGTGTGTTTAGCGCCTGAAAGCCACAATTCTGAATGCATTATCTTGAAACTTGCTATACTTAATCCTTATACCCTAAGGACGGCAACTATTGATTTTGGTGCATAATCCCCCCCCCCCCAAACCTTTGGGCTGTGCCACACTCAGTTCTGCAATATTTTGTCTGTAAATGATATATAGGTTGCAATTCTGAATGGATCATCTTCGAACTTTGCATATTTATTCCTTATACCGTAAAGACAGCAACTATTTATTTTGGTGCACGCCCCGACACCCTGGGACGGTGTCACACCCACTTTTTTTTTGTTAATATTTAGTCTCTAAATTTGGCAAAACAAACCCAACGCCTAGTCTTCTTTGCCTCTGTCATATTACGGTCATTGTGGCTATTTCATATTTCATTCTCTTCATTTTAAAAATTACTATATCAATTAAATCAGGAATGTGTGCGTATATTGTAGCGTTGGCGATGCTCTATTTTTTTCTTGTAACCATTCAGCCATCCAATCCCCCTCATAGTGATGATGAAAATGACAAAAGAAAGAATTATTGCAAAAATGTTTTTTATTGCAAAAATGGTTCCCTCGACGTTCTACTTTAGCAATATACACCATTTTTGCAATAATTTAAATTGCAAAAAAAGGGGTTACTACAGTGCATAGTTTTTTTTACCGAGCGGGGGGTCACGGTGCACGGTGGCTAAGTGTGTAAGTTCCCTGAATTGGCCGAGAAAGTTCATCCAGATTTTCCGGGGTGGTTCCCCCTTGTCAGTGATACAGGACGGAGGGCCCGACAAGGACAGCTGTTTAGTCGTTCGGATGGGACGCAAAAACCGAAGTCCTGTGTACACATTGGCGTGCACATAAAAGATCCCTTGACAGTTGGAATTCGATATAAGAGTAGGTCGTAGTGCCGCTGTCCGGTCATAGCACACTGTATGGGTATGCCCGTCTTCATTAGCCCAGTCGGAGCAGAACAGTAGGACGTTAAACTCCATTTCATTTCATTTCTCTCATCCCTATTCCAGCACCTACATTCGAAATAAAGTTAGCAAACATATTCCTAACCCCAATATAAACTATTTTTATTTGTCACGATAATAATTGTTACCTTTATATTAGAAAATAACATTTTAAGATATATTAATAGACAAAATAAAAAAAAGATAAACCTCTATTACCATAAACATACTAAAATATCGCACACTAGGCTAAATGAGCACGTAGAAAAGGGTACGTTTACTTTGCATCAAAAAAGTATTCGAACCAGCTTTGGTGGCAAAATGATTTTTATTTCATAGAATCAACGATGAATAAACTATTAGACTGCATAATTTCAGAAGCCTCCTATGTTGCATTGTCGAGATATATTACTGTATACATACTAAAAATGTGGTGGAATCGGGTTAGCATTGCTGGCTCGCACCAAATCGACAAATGCATAAGGTATGAACGTGTCAAAGTTCATTAACATTCTAACATTATCGAGTTATATCACCGCAAATTTCCTAGCACCCGGATTCGAGGCGAGGTTCGTGGGTTCAATAAACAAAGGGTACACCCGCAGTGTATCAAAAAGCACCAAAACCATCTTTAGCAGCAAAATGGTTTTAATTCACAGAAGAAGGAATGAATAAACTACTAGACTGTAAAATTTCAGAAGTCCCCTATATTGCGTTTTCGAAATATGTGGAAGTAAGAATCAATGACTATGAATTTGTTGTTCAATTCTCATTGGGTAACAAAATCATAATATCTTCAGCGTCCCACATCATAGCAGAATGCTATTCCCAACTTAGGGTTTCTAAGATTGCCGAAAAAAAAATCAAAAATTGTTACTCCCCGGTTCATTAACTCAAAATTATACCGAGACGATCTCTGTCTAATAATCAGTCTCTATACTATACGGGGCTGGAACTAAATACGAGAACAACTGGTCAGGTTTCTAATAACTTTATATACTAAACAGCAAAGAAATGTCGGGTTGGTATGTTACTCTGAATAGACGCATTGCATAAAACTTGCCGAATGTTTTTATTGTATATTTGTAACCACATCTCCAACTTTACCTTGGCTATAAGGGTCCTTCCCAAATACAGAATTGAACCCAAGGAATGTTCTCAAAAACGCAACTTGACTCCTGAGATGGTAATGTGTTCTCCATGATTTTCATGTAACTCACGCTACACGTGCTGTTCACCGGGACCAGCCCTATAAAATGCATCCTCATAACTCGTTGAATCATTCACACTACAACGTTCAGCAGCATGCCACGACAACTCATAGGAACCAGGCGCTTGGAAGACTCGACGCTAGCCACACTGCCGAAGCCGTTGCCAATCACTTCCAGGTCAATGTTCGGACCATCTACAGGCTTCAACAACTGGTAGACTAAGGGTTACCACAAGGCGACAAGACCGCCATGTTATGCGACATCATGTGCAGAATCCCTTCACATAGGCATCTGAGACAGCACGTCAGACAATGGTAAGAGAGGGAAGGTCCATCAGTACCGATACAGTGTGCCGACGTCTAACCAGACAGAACATCCATTGCCGTATACCTTACCGTGGACCGATCCTCGCCCCTCGCCATCGACGTGAACGTCTACAGTTTGCCCAACAACACCAGAACTGGCGACACAGACAATGGAGAACTGTTCTGTTCACAGACGGGAGTCGGTATTGCATATCAACTACGGATGGCAGGATCAGAATGTAACGTCGACGTGGCCAGCGTTATTCTGACTAATGCATTGTGGGATGAGACTCATGGGAAGGTCCAAGCATAATGGTTTGGAGTGCAATCGGTCTGAACCAGAGAGTGGGTCCTGTGGTGTTCCAAAATCTTGGTCCAGGGAGAGGAGGCGGCATCACAGCAGTGCGCTACATCGATCAAGCTGTCAGACCCCACGTCATATCACATTTCGCACGACATCGAAAGAACGTTTTCCAGCATGACAACGCCCGTGCCCACACCGCCAGAGTTACTCGGGACTTTCTACAGCGGAACGATGTCAACGTTATGCACTGGCCAGCCCTTAGTCTGGACTTAAACCCGATTGAACATCTTTGGGATGCAATTCAGAGGAGACATAATAACGTCGTATCGAGACCAAACACAGCCGATGGATTGCGTCAGGCTTTTCTGGGAGTGTGGTTCCAGGTTCCAATGGCGTTCATCAATCATCTGGTCCACTCCATGTACAGACGCTGCGCTGCTGTTATTGACATTTTGTTGTGGACACACCAGATACTGATGTATAGACTGTAAACCTTCTCGTAATGTCTTGGAATTGTGAGGAATTAATCACTAATGTATCAACATACTGCTCACAAAAAATTGCTTTAATCCATTAAGTAAGTCGTTAATTTCTAGAATGATTTGATTAAAGTGCGTCTCTAATTTTGAAATCGTACTGACGTTTTTTTTTCTGTTTAGTATAGTTAGTAATTGTAACTAAGAACTGGCTGTTTCTTTGGTTTATATATCTTTGAGTTGTTAAGTTCCCAAATCTATAGAGAGAGAGAGAGAGAAATGGGGTTTAACGTTCACTCGACACAAACTAGGTCATTTCGGGACTAACATATGGTTTAATTTTATTTACATAATTCGCTTGCGCGTAGGGGTCTTTAGCAGTGGGAGGAAACCGGAGGACCCGGAGAAAACCCACGAGGTTGGACAGGCGACCAAATCTATAGAAACACGTTACTAACTTACAAACAAACCTACCAAATACCTTACATAAAGTGGTTTTAACCCAACAACTTAAACAATTATAATTACTATATTGTTTAGTTGATTATCACGAGAACAGTAATTATAATACTTAAATATGCAAATTTCGATAAAACCTTTTTGTGTGAAAATGTACAATATAATAATTTCAACAAGAGATAAAGAAATTAAACTAGAAGCACTAACTATGTTTAATGACGAATGGCACCGTGTTGGTGCAG